TAAACACCCATTTGTGCCAAATATGTTTTTAATATTTGTATTGTCATTTGACTCATGGACATGGGGGTAAATTCTAGACCGCATTTCTTATTCACAATCACTCTTTGTTTGTACATCCTAGTTTATCACATATGTACACTCATTTACAAAATCACTCATGCTCTCTTTTGACTAGACAGATTGATAGCACTCCATCAAAAAGTTCTGTAATGTGTGGTAAAGATGGGGCTGTAAATAGTTTATTCCATGTTCCTCATCGGGGTAACTCTGAAATGAGAAACAGATTATGTTTAAGAAGGCAAGCATGAAGACACTTTCAGCATCTGTTTAAACAAGGACACATACCTGTTGTCTGAAAAGTATATCATCTTCTTCCAGAGCTCTTGACAACATCATTGATTGTTGATAATGAACATTGTCATCCAATGTACCATGGACAAGCATGAAGAACTTGTTCTTAAAGTTTCCAACTTTGTTTGTCAACTGGGCTCTCGTATAACCAAATCGATTATCTTTCTCGGTAGGTAATCCCATGTACCTCTCTGTGTAAATAGAATCTGACAACAGACACGAATTCTAAATCAGTTTTCTGCTTGAATTTACACAATGCTTACTTCATAATCAATACTTGGCCTTACCGTAATAAATCCAGTCAGTTACAGGAGCAACAGACATGCCACATTTGAACACATTCTCTGTGTCCATTGCAAGGGCCATGGCTGAGGCGTAACCTCCATAGCTCCATCCCCAAATTGCAGTTTTTGAGGTGTCTATGTATTTCAAATCCTGCTGCAACTTCTTCGTCACATTGATTTGATCCTCCACTTCATATGTGCCAAATCGGTGGTAGATTGAGAATATGGTGTTGTCCCCCTTGTTTGCCGAGCCCCTGCCGTCGATGGCCGCGTAGATGACGCTCTTGTTCGCGCTCAGGAACGTTCCCCAGTCCATGGCGAAGCGCTCCGAGACTCGGAAAGAGTTGGGACCCCCGTACACGTCCACGAGCATGGGGTACTTGGTCTTGCCGCTGAGGTCGGCGCCTGGAGGAATCCAGAGCATGACCTGGGCCTTGAAGCCGCCCGGCAGGTCCACCTCGATCGACTTCCTCGTCGGCAGGGCCATCGGTGCCAGCGCTTCGCGGATGCTCTCGTTGTTTTCCCAGTCCATGAGCTTCTGCGGCGCCTGTGGATCGAGAGGAGTGTAAGCGGGTGGTCTCGAACGTGAGCGTATCGGCATCAAGGTGCCCACAACAGCGGTCGCTGCACGAGGCAGTGTAACAATGATTGCAGGACGTCTGTCAGCTTCACACACACACACACACACACACACTGCACACACCCACATGCCAAACGTCGATCGAGCAAGTACTTTGCTACCTATAGCGCCTGCAGCGCGGTGGGTAGGCAAACCCGCCAACGCGGCGGGCGGCCCACCCCCTGAGCGCGCAGTGCAGGGCAGGGGGCCGGTGCATTTACCTTCTCAGTGCTGTAGATGGCGGTGAAGGGCACCCCGGGCCCGGAGCACGTGAGCGCGATGTAGCTGTTGTTCTTGCTGAGCGCGGCCGTGGCGTACAGGCAGTCGGTGACGTTGCAGGAGAGGCACTCGGGCTTGTGGGGCGCGCCCACCGGGTCGTCTTTGACGCGCTGCACCAGCGCGCGCTTGGGGTCGCCCTCGGCCGTCGACACGAAGTACCTGCGGCAGGGCAGGAGGACGTGGTGTTACTGTGCTGAGCGCGCGCATGCGGCGGCACGGCCGCCCCTGACCATGGCCCTCGCCCGCCGCGCCCTCGCGCGCACGTGCGAATACACGTGGGACCTCTCCTATCACGGAGCCGTAGGCGACCACTGCCACTGACCCCCGGGACCGGGACTTACACGTATCCATTGTCGCTGTCCCAGGACAGGATGCTGGTGACGACGTAGGCGCCGTCCGTCAGGCTGGTCCTGGAGTACGAGCCGTCCTCGTTGGGGTGGAAGAGCGCGATGTGGCGGAAGCTGTCGGTGCCGACGGGGTGCGAGAGCGGCAGCAGCACCCGGCCGCGGGCGCGCGCGCCCAGGCTCGTCACGCCCTCCTCGAACAGCTCGATCCATCCTTTGGGCTGCTGGAGGTCGGCCAGGGTGACCCGGCTGATGGCGCCCGCCGACACCGTCACGAGCTCCACGACGGCGTGGTCCTGGACGCGGTTCATCCACACGGTGAGTAGGCGCGGCGCGGGCGCGTCCGGGACCCAGTGCGTCACGGCCAGCACCGGCTCGTGGGGGCTGCAAGGAGAGAGGACGGTTAGCGACCGCGACACGCGTGCGGCGAGTCGGCCTCGGCGCGGACACGTACCCGGCCTTGATGGAGGGCGGCGGCTCCACGGTGACGCGCACCCCGGTGCTCGGGTCGAACACGCTCAGTGTCACGTCGGGGTTGTTGGTGCCGGGCTGCAACAGGAGGACGAGAGTCACTGGGTGCGTCGGCCTCGGACCGCTCGGCGCCCGGCCGCCAGGAGCGTGCCGTTGGCCCCGGGGGCGTGTCGTCGGCGCCAGGGCGTGACGTCGGCCCTTCGGGTCGGCCGTCGGCCTCGGCCGCCCGGCACGCGCTCCTCACCTTGGGGTATCTGATGTTGACGGCGCGCGTGTACTGGAACGTGAGGTCGCCGGGCCGGCCGTAGTACGGCAGGGTCATGACGGGCACGCGGGTGTCGTTGTAGGTGGCGTACGCGAGCAGCGCGCCGTCGGGCGAGAACCACAGGGCCTTCTTGCTCGACAGCACCTCCTCCTCGTAGACCCAGTCGGGCACGCCGTTGTAGACGGTGTCGTGCACGCCCGTCGTTGTGACCCTCACGAGCTGCGACAGGGCGTCCTTCTGGTAGTAGATGTCGTTGCCCACGACCACGGCCAGTGCGCTGCCCTGCGGGCCCCACTCGGCCAGCTGGACGAACACCGGCTCGCTCCGGCCGGGGATCAGAATGGGGGTCTTCTTCCTGCCGAAGAAGAAGATTGGACGTTATTTTGTTTTGACGGGGAGTCTCTTTCTCACTCTCGCTGCGTCACAATTTGTCGTGGACTCACCCTGTCGCCACGTCAATAATGTTGTAGTAGGCTAGGTAGGAATGTCTGTACAGCTGAAAAGCGGAGAAAGAATATAATTCACTTCAGAAACAATTCGTAGGAGTGAAGCTTAGCACGAATAGGCTGAAGGTGCTCCCAGAATGAACGTCCTCCGAGTTGAACGGGGGTCGGGGACGTGAAACTCTTCCCCGGACCCCTCGCACTTTGATGGGCGGGCCGCCGTCTGCACACTGGTGCTTTGCGGGTTGGCCTATCCGGCGCATAGCAGGCGCTATCATTGGAGTCACCTCGAAAAACATTCATTGTGGGGACACCTTCAGGTTACTACAATACTCACCGCTCTGTACGAAAAAGATTCTAAGGCATACTTTTTGTCTGCTGACAGTTCAGTCTGGAATGTCTGGTATTCTAACTGAAAAGAAGAAGGTGACAATATTTTCATAAAGTGTCATTCAAACAGAAAATAATAAATATGGGACCTTGCTGATACACACCTTTACATTATCGGAAAATGGAGATTTGGAAAGTTTGGAACTAATGTCGAACACAACCGGCTCGTAACCGGACGTGTCCTTGTCGAAAAACAGCTCTGTGTCTGTAATTAATTCCGAATATATTACTTCAAAGTCTGCGTTAAAGAACAACAATATGTCATTACGATAAATACAAAAAATACCTGAGATCCAGCTGGCGTTGAACTGCCGAGGCGCAAACCGTCGGCTGAGGATGTCCTCCAGCGTGAGCTGCGCGCCCTTCGGCTCGTCGGGGCTGGGCTTCAAGACCAAAACCAGGACGGTGGTCACGATGGCGATCGTGACCGCGGCCGCGATACCGAGCCCCAACCATTTCCAACGACGCGCCCGTCCGCGCGAGACTAGCTCCTGGAACATAAAACAATTAGGCTCATTAATTAATCACTTTTAATTTTAGACAGTCCCCAAGACTGTCTCTACTTTTTAAAGTCTCCATACTCCCCCTGACCCTCTGCGTAATCAGCGATAGCTTTGCGAGCGATAAGGCATCATCATCATGGTAATTCACCACACGTGCCTCTCGGACCGCTATCGGTTCTATCGCCTGCGAAGCGGCCGACGTCCAACAACACGACACCCATTCGTTGTTTTGTGCCTCGGCTATCTTCCAGCCAAACGTTCCTCGCGGTTCCGCTTGCAGGAGGCGAGATGGGGGGTACGGGGGGGGGAGGGGGGGGTGCATCGCCATCACGGGGACAAAGGCGCCCCCATTATCAGGCCCTCTTGGCCGTTATCAGAGATGCCTTGCAGGCGCTCGTCGTGTCGGATTACGGGGGCTCACAATCAGGTGATTCTGCAACACTGTCCTGCCGCGTGCCAGTAGTGCAATGCAGTGCGGTGCGGCCATAAGAGTGCGCGGCCGTACGGGTGGGCAAGTTTTCTTTTCGATGAAATTGATCAGGCTGGACAACCACAGGAAAACTACAACCTCAAAAATGTCTAGCTAGCATGGTTCGGGCGAATAGACGTTTCCGTGTGACACTCAAACACCTTTAGATGTTTTAGGTAGTGGGGATTTTCGAACGGTGTTTACGATTAGCACGACTGAATTTCTGTCAACCGACGCACGGCTGGACCTCATACTCCGGAGAAAATTATCCACACCAAACGCTTATTCTGCTGGTGCCGGGTTGTCGGGTACCGGGGTCCATCTGCTCGAGTCCGTGGGCCCCGGCTGCTTGGCTGCTTTAGCTGTGCAGCAGGATGAGCGGCTGAGCGCTTCCCGCCGCTGTCTTCAATGGCTCGAACTGTATCCAGGGCGGCAGCCCAGCCCAGCCGGCCCGACCCAGGCAGGCGTGGTCACAGTCGGTGGGAACCTCGTCAAGGGGCAGTGGGTGGGTGGGCCTGTCTCTGGGTCCTGTTTGGCGGTTGCCCCTGCCCCCCCCCCTTTTCAGCAGTTTCACTGTGACTTGACGATGTCGCCAGCAGCACCCGCGCGCGTCCACAGACGAGGATGACATTTTAAAAACAGAATTTTACGAGGATGTCGTCTGGAATTTGTTCCACAAAACTGCTATGGCCACCCCGCGCGAGCGTGTCGAGCAGGCGTGCCGTGGACACAGCTGCCATTTCCCGCCCTGCGGTGGTGCCAGGCTGCGCCCTGGGCCCGCTCCCCCGGGCCTGCTACGAGCTACGAGCCTCTCACCTGGTTGCTGTTGGCCATCTCGAGCGAGTGGCTGGAGGTGCCGTTCCGTTGTGCGTCGGCCATCTCAGACCCTGAACCGGGCGCTCCCGCTGGTCCTCCTGGTCCTGATCCTGTCCGAGGTCCGCGTCAACATGTCCCGCGCGCCCGGACCTGCAACCGGGGAGGGAGCCGCGATTGGACAGAGCTTATCGGCAGTCGCGAGGGCGGTCGCGGGAGAGCGTCGAGGTGTGGTGGGCGGGGCGGGGTGGGGCGGAGTGGGGCCTTTACAGCACCTACCAGTATCTGCCTTCTACTGACTGGTTTGACTTGCTCTGACATTTCCCACCTCTCTTCTGGCTTCTCCTCCCTACTACTCCCCACCTTCACGCAACGGGCGCGGATTACCGGTACAGTTTCTTTCACGCGGGTGGGACCCCTATATTGCCACCGCTCTACCAACACCATCAACCGCCGGCCAAAGCCACCCCCTCCCCCTCCAACAAATTGCACGCGGTTGATGGTTTCTTTCACTTCCGAACCGCGGCGGCGCGGGCGGCGCTGGCCGGGGGAAGTCCCATGCTGCAGCAGGGCGCGCGTGCCGCCCGCACCGCCGTCTCCCCTAATGACTTTTACTTCCGCGCGAGGGTGGTGTGCGCGCGGGCGGTTTTTGGGTCGGTTTCTTTGACGCCGTCCTGCTTTGCTGCGGCCGCTTCGCCGGGGTCGAGGCAGCCGCTAGGACACGGAGGCCACGTGTGTCTTCCGGCTTGCCACGTGTAACGTGGTGAGCCGTGTATGAGCGTGCTCGGGGTCGTGCTGCCGCCGAGTGGCGAGGCATGGCCGGGGCGCCGCGCGGGTAGGCAACCCGCCCGCACGGCCACATGCCGCACAGCATCCCCGTCTCGGAAGGGGACGACGCCGTGGTGGATCCTGTCCCACAGGCATCCCCTTTCCCTTGCGCCAGGCCGGAAGGCCGGTCGCGGCGGGGGGAATTAGAACTAGGACCTTTGGAGGCCCGACCGCGGCCAAGAGTCCGGCACACATTAGCGCTGGGCATTAACGCCCCAAAAATAATAAAACCGAGTCGTGAAGGGCGCGGCGTGCGGCGCGACAGTGCGGGGACCATGCCTAGGGGGGGGGGCCCCGACCGACTGACGCCCGCCCCAGGACGCCACCTGCGTCAGCGCGGCCGGACGTATTGTCGGGCTTACGACGACTTAGGGCCGCCGGCTGACTGAGACGTGGGTCTTTTCTGAAGTAGGGCAAGTCCCCAGTTCCTATCCCCACCCCCGCCCGGACTCCTCGACCACAGCGTTGACACGAGGTTTACTGAAAGTGATAGACTATACGACATGTCCCCGTGCCCGCCCATCCCTCCACCTCCCACGCTCCGTCACGTTGTAATCTGCCGTCTGCAGTAGATACTCAAGGGCTCAAGTGCGGCGGCGGCAGCGGGCCTTTTCCCCCCGAACTGTATTTTATGATCCACTGACGATAACGGTCAACATGTCACTGCCTATACAAAGTTATTGCCCTGCATGGGCTCGTGACTCCTGACGGAGAGCCAATTCACGCAGATCGTATACTTCTCGAAAATCATACATTTCGCGTAAGCAATAACATACTCTTCAGTAACTTTGTTGTCAATACCCGAACGAAAAGTATATGACTGGTTGTCAAGCGCGAAATTTTCGTCACAGTAGACAAAATTTACTCCCCCCCCCCAAAAAAAAAATCACGTTTAGATCGCGAGTAGTTTAGGAGATTGAAATCGGCCAATATCATCCGTTAGCGCGCGTGTGTAGTGAAAGCAGACAACTCGGGGGGCGTTGTGGCTGGCCTGCCCTGCCCGCGCCCGTGGCTGCCCCGCCCGGCCTCGCGGCCTTGGGGTGGGGAGAGAAAGCAGTCTGGGCTGTTGGCAGCCCTGCCCGAGTCGACACACTGACATAGCGAAGGAGCGAGCTCGGGACCACAACAGTTCTGATTTTGCCGCGCGGACGCAATAATAAAGTTTTGAAACGAGAATGAAATGCGGCGCGTTTGAGATAGAAGGAACGGCGACTCGATGGAGCAGGCAATAGGCTCTCTGCCTACCGCGAGTTTGTCGAGCTTCGAGTTTGCATCGAGTCGCAAACACAGAGTGAGGCGTCAAGTGTCATAATCCCACCAGTTTGCCGCCACTGTGTTCTATGCGGCGAGCGCCACTTGGCGCTCGTTTGTGGCGCACCGTGTGCGTGCGCGTGCGTGCTTACGCACGAGTGTGTGTGCGTGCGTGTGTGCCATATGGTGGAACATGAATAGACTCCGCGCCTTCCCACACAAATACACACACACACAGCTTGTGCGGCGCTCCACCCCGATGCATCTGGAGCGCAGCACCCACCCGCGCGTCCCGCCCCGCCACGCCCGCTACACCCGCCACACCCCGCCGGCGTCACTAGCCGCATTCGGACTCCCTGCCCTGCCCCCTGCCCTCCAAGTCCTGGACTGACTGCTTGAGAGGCAGCGGATCTGCGCGGCAGGCCCGGGTGTCCTAGACCTTGGCCCTGCCCCGCCCTGCCCCGCCCTGCCCCGGCCCACCCCGCCAGCTGAAGCTGATTGGCCGGGTCAGACGCTGCACATCCAATGAGACGGCCGCTGCGTCCGGTGCGACCGAATCCAGCGGCGCAACCAGAGTGGTCCTCACCTTGGACCTTTAGGGAAGAGGCGACCCGAGGCAAAAGAAGTCGAGCACGAGCAAAGAATCGACTCACTAAAATATAGCAGAGTTCAAAAGAATCAATTTCTCTTAAAATTATCTTGTATAAATTGACTGGGAACCCGAGGATCTTTATCGTCCAGAAAGTTCGTAGTCTGTTTTTTTCTCAGATTCATGCGAAACATTATGAGAGCTCAGCGCCTGCGAGACTCGGGGTAGGCCACCCCGCAGCGCACGCATGCACTGCAGGCAAGATGTTGCCTACCCATCAGGCGTTATGAGGGCTCGCATGATTTGCATAGGCGGAACATGGCAAATATCGTAAGGCCAACGGACAACGACACACCAAACTATTAAAAATTCGAATGTAGCAGTATTTAGACTTCAATAAAACCGTTAAAAAATCTGGACAGGGCAGTTGAATGACGGCCGTACTTGCTAGATGATCCCTGAGGCACCATACATGGAAGCTGACGGTCGGCAACCCGCACGCACGCCTCGCCTGCCTACGGTACAGTCACTGCGAAAATATGTCGATGCGACAGGGTGTTGGTTCCCCGGTTATCCAGCACAGCACGACGCTGGAGGCTGAGCGAATGTGTCATGGGACATAGCGAGGGTCGAAAGAGCACAAGGCTCCATCGCTATTTGGGGCGGGCGGCATGGGGGTGGCGCGTGGTATATAGGGGAGCCCATGGGGCGCGCCGCGTGCTGTGTAGGGGCGGGACTGCGCTACGGAGGGTGTGGTGCTATTCGAGCTGTTTCATCTAGAAACTCATCCGTCCCCATTTCCGCACAGTTCGTGATTGCTAGCCCCCCCCCCCCCCTC